AGTTATTTATGTTGCAATTAGGTGACAACAGTTGCTGAAATCACCTGGGGCCTCAGTGAGCCAAAATCTGGATGCTTCCTCACTGTGCTTGACGGCTCCCTGTGCCTGATGGTGGAGCCCTGGGCTAGCTCTTGTGAGAGCAAATTGTTCTGGAAAAAGTCCCTGCTTTGCTGACTTTCTGCCTACTTGTGTGTACACACTCTTCCTGTCCTGATGCCATTTGTCATAATGTGATGCAGCCAAGGACCCTCACTGAGGCCAGTACCATGCAGTCTGGGCTTTCAGCCTTCAGAACTGTGAGCTATACTTTTCTTGTCTTTATAAATTACTCAGCCTCTGGTATTTTATTATAGTAGCAGCAAAAGGACTAAAAAAAAATGGTGGTATCAGAGGAATCCAACTCCTTATATGGCAGGGGCTTCTTCTAGAACAGTGGTTCCCAGCAAGCCAGTGGCAGCAGTGAGCTTCAGCTTGGCCTTGGGTGGTTCTCAGTGGCAACCAGGGCCAGGCTGCCTGACTGCTCCCCCAGGCTCAGGAGGGAGCTGGCACCTTCAGAAACACTGTCGTTCATTTATTTTTGCAATCCTTCTCTGACACAGGTGATGATTCAGGCACTCTCTGCCCTCAGGTTACCCAGAATGACCAATTTCCAGGAACACAAGTCATTGTTCCCAAAGGAGAAGGTGAGAAAGCAGCGGGAGACAGTGCTCTCCTCACCACTGCACCGTGCTGGTGACATAAATGCATGCATCGTGTGCACCTCCACCCCCGCCACCCACAGCCAGCAAGCCAGGAAGCACAGTGTGTGGTCCGTAGGTGCAGCCTCAAGTGATTCAGCTCCCCAGCCGGCTCATGGCCAGACCCAGCAGGGACAGAGCCCCATCTCCATCCCCACTACCCTGAGCAACATTCTCCCCCTCCGACTCCAGTTTTCTTTTGTATGAAAGGCAGTTGATCAGGCAGGATGGTACATTCCTGTAATCTCAGCATTCTGTGAGGCTCAGGCAGGAAAACCCCAAGTTCCAGCCCAGTCTGGGAAAATTAGTGAGACTCTGTCTCAAAATAAAAATTAAAAAGAGCCAGGGGTATAGCTCAGTGCAAAGGAACTGGGTTCAATTCCTAGTAGTACCAAAAATGGAAGAAGGGAGAGGAGGAGGAGGAAGGGGAAGAAGAAGAGGAAGAAGAAAGGCACAGGCAGACAAGGGAGGAAGGAAGGAAGGAAGGAAGGAAGGAAGGAAGGAAGGAAGGAAGGAAAGAAAAGAGATGGAAGGAGAATGGGAAGAATGAAAGGAGGGAGAGAGAAAGAAAGGGTTATGGAGGAGAAGAGGTTGACCAGATGGCTGCCACCATCTCTATGGCCTTAGGCAAATCCCCTGTCTCTATCTTATATCTGTACTGTGGAAGTTGAACAAGATGCCTGCAGGTGTTTATAGCACCTCATTCTTCAATTTAGTTTCTATCTGAACCACCTCAGTGCATCTAGGAATGTATGTATTTGTTGCCCTAAGTTTTGACCATTTTCTGCTGCTATAACAAAATACCAGAGGCAGGATGACCTCTAAGGAACAAAGGTTTAATAGACCAGGAAGTTCAAGAGCATGGCAACAGCATCTGCTCAGCTTTGGTGCAGGCCCCATTCCATAAAGTGGCAATGTAGGAGGGGAAGAAGAGACAAAACAGGAGGGGAAGGCTGGCTTTATAACAGCTTGCTCTCATGAAAATGCATCCACTCCTGAGAGACCCTACCCAGGCACTCGCCCCTCAGAAAGATTAGTCAGCTCTTAAGAGATCAACCTCTCAACTCTGCCACAAAAGTCAATCAAATTTCAGTGTGAGTTTGGGAGGAGACAAACCATACTCCAATCCCAGCAGTGGGACTGCAATGCAAGGGCACCCATCCAGTGCCCCCAAATCCAAGTTCCCAGGAATTCACGAACGAGCAGACACTGCCCTGGAAGCTGAGCTGGAATCCATCACCACCCCAGCCACTGCTGAGTGAGGGACCGGGCTGGGTGCAGGAGGGAAGACTGGGATAGGCAGTCCGCCTGCCCACCAGGTTCTCCTGTTTGGTGACAGCGTGGCCTCAAGCAAATCCTTAGCCCCTCCAAACCCCAGATTCCCCATCTGGAAAAGGAGAATTTTAACAGCCATTCCCAAGGACAGGCCTCAGGACAGGGTCAGACAGCAGCTGGAAAGCTCCAATTGGTTACTGTTCAAACCCCCGTGCTGGAGACCACCTTCCAGGCCAGCAGTGGGGACTCTTGTCGCTGCCCAGAGCCTTTCCTGAGATAATTTAGGAGGTCCGGGCTGGGGAGCAGTCCTCAGCTGAAGCTGCCGCCTCCCCAGTGGCAGCCGCAGAATGCCTCAGGCCCTGGGGGCTGAGCAGGCTCTCCTAGTCCCTGCTTCCTGAAGATGACCCAGGCTGTCGCGCTCCACAGCACGAGGCACTAAAAAATGACTCTGAAGAAAAGTAAGCAGACGCTCCAGGCTATAAATATTTCAGAGCGGAATGAACGTCCTTTCCCAGCACCGACCCGCCGTATATATTATTTATAAAACCATAACTTCAGTTGAAAGGTAGTCGCCAAAGGAATAGACAGCCTCACTCAGATTCACGGGGTGATTGGAAAAACAGTCCAGAAGGGGACAGAGAATGTCTGGGCCACCAGAGGCCACAGGAGGTCATCCAGCCCCATCACCCCCCCAACCTGGCCAGAGGGACAAGCCAGGATAGCTGGGAGGCCCTCTGGACACCCGCAGCTCACACCAATCGTGGCCCTGCTGTTTTATCAGGAAACTGCCAGTGAATTCCTGACAAAAACCTTTTTACCCAGCTTCCTAGCAGGGCGTGGGGTTTGTCATGGGAGAGGAGGCTGAGATGGCCACGCTGAGGCCACTGTGCAGCAAGACACTCTCATGTTGTTGTGCCATGCATGACACATGTGCCACAGGTCAGGATGCCTTCCGGACTTGATATTTCCAGCTGTGAAGTGGGTGGATGAATAATCCCACTCAATCACAGGAGTCCCCAAGCCCTCAACTGCCCACACAGATGGGGGTCAGAGGTGAGTGAGGGAAGCTGCATCTGGGTCCCCAGCTTCCTCCATCACCCATATTACCATCTGAGCCCCGCCTCTTTCATCTCAAGCACAGGCCCTGCTGTGAACTGCCCAGGTACGGAATCCAGGACACACTCCTTTGGGTCATCTGGAAACCATCTTGGGTCATGGAAAAATTGTCTTCCACGAAACCAGGCCCTAGTGCCAAGAAGATTGGGGTCTGCTTGTGGAGAACTTCACTTCCCACATTCTCAATTTAAAAATCAATATAAAGCCAGGCATAGTTTTCCTTACTCTGGAGGCTGAGGCGGGAGGACTGAGAGTTGGAGTCCACCTGGGCAACTTAGCAAGACCCTGTCTCAAAAACTAAAATGCAAATCAGTAACTCAGTGGCTTAACCTGTGATAAAAAGGAGAGACTGAAGCGAAGGGACTGGTAACCAACTCCCGCCTTGTTTTGGCGTGGTACTGGGGACTGACCCCAGACCTTTGCACGGAGCTAATCTCTAGCCACTTCCATCTTTTGAGACGGGTCTCGGTGAGTCATTAAGCTGCCAAGACTTAGTCCAGTCATCAGCGTCCCCAAGTCTTCCTGTACTTGAAAATTGTGGCTGAGCTGCTTTTGATTTTAATTTTTCCATTATGCACTCCTTGCAGAAAATTTAGAACATGAAAAAAAAAAAAGCACGAAGCTAGAAATAAAAAATCGCTTATAATTCCATGATCCGGAGCAGCCCCAGTTAACCCTGGTGTCTCTCTGCCTTCCTGACGCGAGAGAGGGCAGAGCTCCAGAAGAGCGGGGAGGTGCCAAAGACCCAGAGGCTGATGCGCAGGGCCACCTGCCCCCACCACAAGGAGACTTGGTTTGGCTCTCCAGTCCCCACCATTGATCAGGACACACAGCCTTCCTGAGAGGCCAAAACAGCAAGGCCTCGTCCCAGAGTAGACTAGGTGGGGTCCTGTGCACCCTGTGCCCACTTAGGGATACGAGCTAGATGAAATGCAAGAGTATGAAGCAGACGCCTGTCATCCCAGTGTTTTGGGAGGCCGAGGCAGGAGGATCTCGAGTTTGAGGCCAGCCCACACACACACACACACACACACACACACACACACACACACACGGGCCCAGCGGAATCTTCGCAGCTGGACTCTGCTGGTCAGGACAAGACCCGTCCCGCCAGCCCTGCTTAGGCCCAGGAAGCCCTTCATCCACTCCCCGGGGGGAATGGGGTGTCCAGGAACCCTGCTTTCAGGTCTTGCCACTCCCAGATCCCAGCCTCGGGGCAGCTCCCAGCAACCCCCTCAGAGCAGCCACCAACCTCCCCCATCTGTAGCACCCCTCGAAACATATCAAAATAAAAACCCGGATGAGTTTATTCGCTAAAATGCCCAGAATGTAATAACTGATTACATTTCATTTCTCCCCAGGGGAAACTCGGGTTAATTTGGCGGCTGACTCATGTGCCAGGCCCCTGTTACGACACCAGGACAGACGCGGCTCCTCCCGGCCCAGCTGGCAGTGCCCGCGGCCCGGCCCGGCGGCCCGTGCGGGTGGGAGCCTCGGCCCACGGCGGCGCCGCACAGGCTGAGCGCGGGCTTCCAGGAATGCAGGGCGCATGCGCGCGTGCACACCGCTGCGTGGACAGCACGCACCGACCAGCGCCGCGTAGGCTCACACGCACGCGTGCATGCGCAGCTGCACCACGCCCACCAAGTGTCCCATGGTAGCTCTGCGTTCTAGTACGGGCGGCCAAATCCACGTAGAGAGAGTCCATCCTGGTCCTGCCTCTTCCTGCATCTTCCGGAAGGGAAGGGAGGCGTCCGTAGGGCTGACCAGGTCCCCAGGGTGCCCACTCTAGGTGGACTTCTCTGTCTGCCTAAGGTCATGGAAATACTGGGGACCCGGCCCCTATATTGCTCATGAAAACAGCACACTCACCTCAGACAGAAGTCCTCAAGTGTGCCCATGAGATGTGGCTGTGTGATCTTGAGCAGGACACTCAACCTCTCTGAACCTCCATTTCTTCTTAATTATATGATTGCACAAGAATATGAATATACTTGGTGCCATCATAAGATGTAAGCTTTATGTTACATTTTTACCACCATTTTCAAAAACTAGAAAAAGAATAAGGAAAGGCATATGTAAGTTCTTCCCTTCTTTCCTCTCTCCTTTGCAATTCCCTTTCTCCCCCTCCCTCCCGATCCCATCCCACAGACTGGGATGTTGAAATGACAGCAGGAACTGTGGCAGCCATCTTCAACTTAGAAGTCACTTGTTGAGCAAGTTGGAACAGAAAGATAAAAATGACACCTTGACATTATGGAGCCACCACATAAGCCTTGGACTGCTTGTAAATACAGAAAAGTAAGTGTCTGTGTTTTACAAAAATACACATAAACATAAATACATATATTTTTCATCATCATCTCTTTTATGTGTATAAGTATACACTAAAACCATCTAGGGAAGAGCTCACCAGACAAAGACGAGATATTTCCCAGGGTTCCTCACCCCTCCTTTCCAGCAAGAGAACACAGCAGGGTTCTGAGTTTTGCCCCAATATCTTCCAACTTTCAAGCAACTCATGCAAACCGTTTCTCTCCTAAGTCTGTTTTTTACCTTTTTTTCCCCCTGGGAACTGGGGGTTAAGCCCAGGGCCTTCACACTGAGCCACGTCCCCAGCCCTGCATGTTTTGTTTTGCTTTGCTTTATTTTTCTTTTATTTTGAGACACAATCTCACTAAGTGGTCCAAACTGGGCTTGAACTTGCAATTCTCCTGCCTCAGCCTCCCAGAGTGCTGAGATGACAGGTGTGCACAGCCATGCCTAGGTCCCTACCCATTTTTTGACATTGAGACTATTGGCCTCAGTTTTAAAAACCTGCTTCTCTTCTCTATTTCTTTGGTTTCTTTTTAAAATTTCTTTTCAGCAAGATGCGCATGGATTATATTTTCTCGAATCGACATAATAATATGGTGGGTTGGGGGTACAGTGTACCAACTAGATGCCCTATACCTGAGTACTGAGTAGGTCAGGGCACCTAGAGTTTCCCTCACTTTGAATATCTACCCATTCTCTGTATCAGAAAGCTTCTAGTCCTTCCGTTTAACTTAAAAAAGCAGCTTTAATGTTTAAAAGTTGGTTAATGAAGCCGAACATGGTGGAGCCACCTGTAAACTCAGTATTTTGGGAGACTGAGGCCAAAGATCGAAAGTTGGAGGGGAGCCTGGGCAGCTTGGTAAATTATTGAGAACCTGGAAATAAAACAATTAAGAAAAGGGTGGCACGTAGGTCAGTGCCCGGACTTGGGTTCAATCCCTGGGAGGGCAGCAGGGCGGGTGCAGCAGGTTAATGACTGGTCCGGCCCAGGCACACAGCAGGCGGAAGGCCACTTTGCAAGGGGCAGAGAGGACCAGGTTCCAGGTCTGTGAGGTCAGCTAAGAGGCCACAGGCGCATGGCCCAGGGATGGCTTCCCTTTGGAGAGGAAGCTAAGAAAGAGTAAGGGGGCCAGCGGGGCTCCCCTGAGCCACGGGGCAGCCAGAAGCCCAGAAGAGGACTCAGAACTCACAGCCCAGCTCTGAGCACACAGCTCCCTGGCCAGAACCGCCCAGAGCCCCGGTGACAAGCCAGAGGCCCACAGCCGCCTGGGCCCCATTCAGTGGCCTCGGCTCTGAGCTGCCACAGGCCTGTGGGAGACACTGGGGGTGCAGGAAGGAAGGACACCCACAGACAGTGGAGTTCTGGCAGGAGAGGAGGGGGCGCCTTTGCCAATGGAGAGCTGTTCTCAAGGGAGACAGGGCCAGGCTGTGGCTCAGGGGCACAGCGCCTGCTGTAGTGCTCGAGGCACACGAATCCTGCACCAGGAGCAGCCCTAAGAAAATCACTCCCCAACCCCCAGAACCCACCAAGGCAGTGAGTGGTGTGGCACACAGCAAAACCCTTTCTCAAAAACCCAACACAACACAAAAAGACTCCTCATGGCACGGTCCCCAGACAGTGCCAGTCCTCAGAGGGGCACGACATGCCCCAGACACCTAAGCAGAGGAGGGCTGTGGGCCACACACACAGTAAGGCCTACCCACAACGTCCCGAGCTGGGTGGGGGGCCACAGCTCCTCTACCAGGGCCCAGACCCCACTTGCTTGCCTGTGCGTTTGCACAGAGCATCTGCACAGCCTGGGGTTCCAACCGAACCTCAGTCTCTCCCAGGCAGAGGCCTCTGGGGTTACAGAGATGTCCCGGCTCTCTGAGGTTCCTTCTCACCTCGTCAGGAGGGGCCGTGGGGAGCTGAACAGGACGGGGTGCACACGTCCAGCATGTGCTGCGCTCCGCCTCGGGGACGGTCCCCCTGTGCTCAGCCAGCTGGGCATGACAGCTTCCAGGAGGGTAGAGAAGACCAGCGCAGTGTGCGGCCAGCACCCCATTCACCCGCCAACATCCTGCAGAGATGTGGCACCTGTGCTGACAGCCAGCTCCTCTCCAGGAAGCAGATCCCAGTCATGGCCAAGACTTCAGCAGGCAAGGTTTCCACCCAGCCACATCCCCACGGCGGCAGCGGGGTGTCCAGGCCCCCTCAGCCTGTGGAATCGCACCCCGCTCCCACCAGGTCCTGTCTCTTGCCCTCCGCCTGACATCATGTGAACAAGGCCCCGGGGTGGGGGCAGGATGGAGGGACCTGGGCCTGGGGGAGGAGCTGAGGGCAGGAAGGGTGGGGCTCCCAGAGTGCAGAGCAGGCGGCCCTGCCCGGCTGCTCACGCAGAGCCACAGCTGCGAGCCAGGTGCCACGGCACACGCACATTTACACGCCGAACCTGACACACGGCTGCCCCCAGACTGCACTCACACGCAGCACCCTCTCATCCTAGCAGACGTGGGGGGCCTGGCCTCCCACCCCAATCGCTGCCAGGTGTGCAGGGCTCCTCTGGGCCCCAGTCTCTGCCTAACACCACCTGCAGCCCAGCAGTAGGAGCACCAAAGGCCCAGCGCCACCAGGCTTCCTTTGGGGAGGACTCGGCTTGCTCCAGCCAGCATGGAGTCCATTGCAGGGCCAGAGGAACCTCCCCTCGGCTGAGGAGCCCGCACACTGTCCCCATGCACAGATCACCGGGGCTGCCTCTTACCTCCAGGGCTCAGTTTTTCTTCTTTCTTCCCCTGCTGCTGGGGTTGAACCCAGGAAGACAGCACTGAACTACATCTCCAGTTCTTTTTTTAGTTTTCATTTTGATAAGTTGCTAAGTTTTCCAGGTTGGGCTTGAACTTGGAATCCTCCTGCCTCAGCCTCCCGGTGTGCTGGGATTGCAAGTATACATCCTTTTCTTTGCCTTAAGCTTGGCATTTCTTCTTGTTTCTCAGCAACAGAGGATGGGAAGGAGGCAGGGATATCAGGAGGAGGAAAGTATGGTGCCTGGGGGGCCATACTGATAGGTGTACAGGGTCTTATTGGGGCAGGAGCTCCTCCAGCTCCTGATGGCCAGAGGTTCTTGATTTCCAACTCCTTGGACCCTTTGCCTCTGGCCCCACCTCACAACCTCCCCTGGGCCTGTGGCTGCAGCCTGTACCTCTTTATCCAGCTCCCAGCGCCCCTGAGCCTCAGGCTACCCACAGATCCCCTCACCGGATATCGGGGTTTCCTAACCGATGTAAACACTGCACCCCCACCCCCTGCCTTCGCCGCAGCCCCTATGATCAGATTCAGCGGAGCTCCTGCCCAGGGAAGCTGGAGCTAAGCAAAGACACTAAAGCACCTGGGGCAAGGTCAGTGCCAGGGCAAGGCTGTGACAGCCCGCTTGCCTCCCGCCAGCCTCCCCCGCCCCGCGGTCACGGCCCCGGTATCAGGGTGGGCCCTGCCAGCTCCCCTCTCTCTAGAGACCCCGGCTGCAGGAACTCGGGAAGCCTCGCCGCCGCTTCCGCGGAACGCCGCTAGGTGGCGCCGCGCTAACGGAGATAGGGATGGTCGGGCCGCCCGCTCAGCCAGCGCCGGGAAGCGCCTCCCTGCCAAGCGGGTACTCTAGGTCCCCAGACCCGACCCCATCTGAGCTCCCCCAGGTCCCGAGCTCTCCCGGAGGCCCGGGACACACAGGCTCCCAGCCTCTTGGTCAGCACGTCGCCCTCTGGGGCTGGCCCCATGTCGGGGGCCCCTATCCTATTCTAGGGTGACCCCTCATCAGGTTGGGTTTCTGCTGCCCTCACCCAGGTGTGGGGGCGGGGCGGAGATTAAACCTGGTGCTTCGCACTGAGCTACGTCCCCCAGCCCTTTTTACATTTTTTTTTTTAATTTTGAGGCAAAGCCTCACTAAATTGTAAAAGCTGCCCAGGTGGGGATTGAATTTGAGATTCTCCTACCTCAGCCTCAGAGTTTGGCGACTACAAGCCTGTGCTGCCATGCCTGGCTCTGATGGATCTTTACCCTGTCTGGGCCTCAGTTTCTTTATCTTTAAAATGGAACGGATACCAGTCCCCAGAGTAAATGAGACTCCTGGCACAAAACCTGACCCAGGTTTGGCACACAGTGTCATACCTCAGTTTCCCCTTTCTGTCCTCCAGCCCAAAATAATGTCTCACCTCTGCCTTTGCCACCTCACTTTGAGGCTGCTGGCTTTAGGGCTACACTGGGGTGAGAAGGCCCCAAACCAAGGGTGCAATGGGATGGACCCCAACTGCCCCAAGCCCTGATCGCATTTCCTCCTCAGGACTCTGTCAGTGAACACAGAGCTGGCGTGACAGAACCAGTGGACATGTGAATAGCAGGGTCCTGGCTGGGGTCCCGGTTGATTCCGGCTGCCTCAGCTGTCACTGCAATGAGGCAACCGCTGGAGGCAGGTGACTGGGCCACTCTCAGCTCTCCCAGCTGTCCTGTCCCTCTGGATCTCCCCCAGGCTTTAGAGGGGCTGATGGACCTGCCAGGGCATCGCCTCCTCCAGGGAGCCTTCCAGCATTGATCTGTGAGTGGAGGCCTTGGCTGGGCCCTGCGTGGTACCTGGCTTGGTCCCTTCCTTTGTCCTAACTCAGACACACGGGATGCCATCCCCCAAATACCCAATTTACAAAGAAGCTTTCAGAAGAGCATTTAGAGCAGATGATGAAAGTGGGGCCCAGAGGGACCAAGTGATGGGTGCAGAGCCACACAGCAAACCACAGCAAAGACTTAGCAAGCAGCATGTAGGGCAGGGCCCATTGCAGGAAGGGAAGTGGGGTGTTCCAGGAGAGGAGTGGCTCCAAACGGAGCCTCCTGCACCCCGCCCCCCACGTCTGAGTAAGTCTTCCTCTGCAGGGTCATCCCTGAAGTCCAGCCTGCCTGTCACCGTCCCACACTAGCTGTAGTGTCACACCCACCTTGTAGTGAAGCCTAAGGAGCCTTTCTGTTGCTGGGACAGTGTTGCCAGTAGTCAGTGCCCCTGAGTGCTGGGGTCAGCAGAGCTGGGTCAGGCTGGACAGGAATAAAGCAGCACCTCCTGGCCCCAGGGCTGCCCAGGGAAAGGCCACTGCCTCTCAGCTGCCACCTGCAGCTTCTTCTTTTCCTGTAGCAGCCTGGGAACCCCTGCTGATTCCCCACCCCCTACCCCTACCCCACACCTTTTGACATCTGCCCCAAGGATGAAGGTTGTGTTGGAGATGATCTCATGGGGTCGACCTGGCCTCTCAGGGATTAGCAGTAACAAGCTGCCCAAGAATCCATCTCCCCGGCCCATGGGGGAGCACAGTGGATCACCCATCAGTGGGGTGGGTGGGCCTAGTGGCCATGGCCTAATTTGGACCTGGGCTCTGCTAACACCAGCCTTCAAAATCTCAGAAAAGAAAGATTGCTAAAGGGGAAGCAGGATCCTAAAAGAGCTGCTTAACCTAGTTAAAGAATGCGATATTTGCAAACTCTTTGAAAGCAGCAAAACCCTACACACACACACACACACACACACACACACACACACACACACAGAGGACTTTGTCCCTTGAAGGCCACACCCTTGGCTGTGGCAGCCGGCAGTCACAGTGCCCCCAAGCCTGGCAGTGATAAAACTCCTTTTTAAGAGTATCTGGCCACTCACTCAGCCAGCCAGCTTTTCTCTTCCATTTAGCAATGTTTGTCTGTTTCTGTGGTACTATGGATGGAGCCCAGGGCCTAGCATGTTAGGCATGAGCTCCACCCCTGAGCTACATCCCAGCCTTTTGTTTAGATATTTTGAGTCAGGGTCTCGTTAAATTGCCCAGGCTGGGCTCAAACTTGTAATCTTCCTGCCTCAGCCTCCCAGGTGCTGGAATGATGGACATGTGCCGCCTCACCCAGAAAGTGGCCTTTAATTCACTTTCCCTTTGCAAGTGAAATAATCGTCAGAGCCCTGCAATGCAAGGCGCATGAGGACAGAGCAACTCCCACTGAAGTTCTGGGCTGAGCTCTTTCTTGGAGCCTCCTGGGCTCCCACCAGAGCCAAATCCTTCATCTTCAGGGAACTAGAAGGGAAAATACAAGAAAGAAAACCTTGCCAAGCACAGAAGTGCACAACCGTAACCCCAGCACTCCAGGAAGATGGCCAGGTGACAACAATTAACCCCTCATTCATTCAGTCATTCAACAATGTGCAGGGGACTGGCTCTGACATGGTGAGGCCCCAGTCAGACAAGATTGCTGTCCTTGTGCGGGATGAGATGGATCTGGTGAGGACACACAGCTTTGGGGCAAGTGGGGAGCATCTGACTCAGCCCAGGGTCCAGAAAGCTTCCTGGAGGAAGTGGCCTCTGAGCGGATACTGGAGAGGTAGCAGGAGAAATGGGTTCTGCCACAGCAGGCTGCACGCGCTGAGGCCCTGGGGCAGGCAAGATGTACACTTCTGTGCGTGGCTGTCCTGTGGCATCCTGGGCTTGGTGACTGAGGCAGTTTCCCCTTGGCTTTGCCTCCTGGGAATTTAGGAACCCATGTCAAGCCCAGGAAGTGGCCTTGGGCCAGGCGGTAGCTGAAACAGGATTGATTAGTGGTGAGTTGATTGGCAGCCAGTTACTATTTATGGAGACTCAGTATCATATCACCATGTTGACACTTCCCCGATTTTTATCTCATGTAATCTACAAGTCACCCCATTATAGAAAAGAGGAAACAGAGGCACAGAGAATCCAGTCACTGCCTGAGCTCACAGAACTCCGGAGCTGAGGGTCCAGTCTGACCCGGAGGCCCCCGCTCTGGCTCCGGCCCCCAGCACCCCGTTTTTCTCCTTCACAAACATTGCCTTCTTTATTTCCTCTCCTCTTGTCTAAAATGCATCTCTGTGCACCCCGTGGCATCCCCTGGATCAGACAAGTTCATACCCGGCGTGCATGTTTAAAATGACGTCCTTAGCCTGATTCCAGCTGATTATTGCTGGTGCCAGCATGGTCGGAGGCTGACACAGGAGAATCACAAGTTCAAGTCCAGCCCGGGCAACTGAGCAGCTTCACGAGACCTCGTCTCAAAAATAAAGCTTAGAGAGTGCAAAGGCCCTGGGTTCAAACCTTAGCACTGCAATAAGAATAATAGCAATAAGTACAAAACGAAACTAAAAAGGAAAGTGACCCTTTCCTTCTTGCTCACAGCTCTGGACCTTGCTGTCTCCCACTGGAAGCCCTGTGCCTCTGGTTGGGTCCTATTTGGAGGCTCTGGC